AGTCCATTTCCAAGAAAGTTCTGATATTGCACACATAAAATCCCCACTTACTACAGTTATAAGAAATTTCAAAATATTCAATTCCACTACTTTGCATAAAGAAGAAGTAGCTTTAGTGAGAGTTCTAAAAATGGAAATGAAGGGGCCATTTTGAGAGATGAGCTTTTGTCCAAGCCATCCCCTTCCGAGATGAAGGGAGTTCTGGAAAGTGAGGTGACGGATGCCGAGATCACTGTGAACTTCTCTTGGCATGGGTGTGGGACCCCTCTCGAGGTCTCCTCCATGCTCACTCTTGCCTCCAGTTGTAGATGATGAATTTAACTGTGTCAGAATGTTCCCAAAGTAACGTGAGCCACAAGGACTTTTGTTGTCACCAGATTTCCATGATGCACAAAGTAGAGTGAGTACAATGCAACTGACTTTCTCACTGGGTTGGTTTGGCATCTGCAAGGAGGTAAGTAACAGGAAAGGTCACAGCCCTAACTGTGGCAGTACTGTTCTCAGTGCAGAGGGGAGCAGTCTGAACAAAGGGCAATGAGCACAGTGAGAGTTCATGGCATTTAGTACACTGGCTATCTGGCTACAGTCGTTCCCCTCGTCTGCTTCTGTTCAAGAGGTCCTCTCTGGAAAAGGGGCTCTCACCCACACCAGGAGAAGTGGGAAGGCTGGCCTACAGCTCTTTAAACACACTGGTTTGTTTTTAGATCACTCAAATACCTTGTTTTTAGATCACTCAAATATCTAGGTGATCTTTATTTTTGCCAACAGTGGGAAAAAAATCCTACTGAATTGAACCCACAGTTGCCGAACCTTTACGTATCTATACTAAGCACTGAGCATTGTGAATAAAAAGCCTTTCTCTAAGAGATTCAGCACACCCTGCACAAAGACCTGGGGACCAGACTGCGGGAAAGAGAAACTTCTTCTCTGGCTGCAATGACTGTGAAGCAGGGTCATTACTGCTACAGACAATACAGTCATCATGTACAAGAGGCAGCACAACATGGACTGCCGAGCCCTGTTTCTTTTTCTCTACTCCCACCACCTACTGTCCCACTACTTGCTTCCTGATGGGAAGGAAAAGAAAAGGACAAATCCTATCCAATAAACATTGGATGATGTGAACTTGGAAATGGTTGGATATCTTTGTTTTCCAGAGCTGCCTGCCATCTCTAGGGCACCTGGAGTGGATTTGCACCAAACCAGCAGCTGCAACTGCTGCAGTTCTATCTTCAGCTCCACAACATTTCCCTTGACCAAAAACACACTAAGTCATCTCCACGTCTGAAGCATTTAGCAAACAATGGCAAAGCAGAGCCACCAGAAATATACACCTGATCTCCGTGGCAGATTTGGTAATGATGTCCTAGCTGGTACAGTCATTTTGGCTATTGCTGTGCATTCATATACAGTAGCATGAGCCGGAACAGAATGGAACCTGTCCCTTACTGGCAGTCACCTTGAAAGAATGGAGAGATCAATAATTATGCCAGCTGCTGTAACCATGAATTGTTTCAAACCAACTCATAACTGATGCCAAGTTAAAACACAGTGTACCTATTAGAATATGGCATACTGAAGAAATTAAGTACATTTGAAACTTGCAAAAAAGGGGAAAACAATTGGAAGAAAGCTTGGACATCGGTAAGGGGTGTGGCTCGTCACTCTTTCATCCAGTCCTGCTCTCCTGTCAAGGGGCTGTGTTACTTTTGTGCAAAGCCCCATATACATGCCATGAAAATGCTCAAATTGGGATCAATCAGCAGAGTTAAATCGGTCAGGAATATGACAACACAGAAGAAGCACGCTTCTCTTGGCCACAGTAAAGAAGAGAAACCGGGGAATCTGCCTTCCGCGGAGGTTCTATGCCAGAGTCAGCATTATTTCAATTCTCTTCTTTTCCCAGAAGAGAAAGGGACCTTTTTTTTTGGTACTGGGGATAGAACTCGGGACCTTGTGCTTGAGAGGCAGGTGCTGGAACCACTGAGCTAAATCCCCGGCCCTAGGGACCTTTCTTTAAAAAAAAAAATGTTACTTTTATGAGTACAGTACATGTTTGAGTGCATAATGATCACATTCCTCAGGAGAGTTGGTACATGTGCACAATGCATCTTAATTCTTTTGTTCATCTCCTTCCCCTTCATCTCTTGGTCTCCTTCCCTGTTGCAAAAGATCTATCTCCTTGTTCCTATTACCTATCTTTTATATTGCTCTTTATTTATATGTTGGGCTTCTCATAGATGAGAAACCATGTGATATTTAAGCTATGTGTTTGATTTATTTCACTTGCCATTATGTTCTCAAGGTACATCCATTCTCCTACAAATGACTCAAGTTTATCCAGAAGGGGACCTTTCCCGAAGCTGTCTACCCAACCACACTGAGGGATCATCACTCAGAAGCCTCCCTACTTCTGCCTTGAGTCTGGACTAAAGTTCCTACCATTGCAGTGATCTTTATACTTCACATGTCCCTCTGTGTCTGGCTGGTACCTAGGGAGGAGGCAGTCACATTTTCACGAAGATCCCCTTTACCTTTTGTTTGCTATTGTGAGATACAATTAGCACTCACACTGGAGAAAACTTAATTAAAGGGGATCTTTCATGTATAATAGGTCATGTGAAATAGGAAGAAAAGGGGCAAAGGGGAAGGAAGTGGGAGGGCTAGGGGAAAGGATAGAAGGGAATGGGATTAATATGAGAAAATGGAAAAATAGGAACAAAATCTTTGTAAATAGGGAGGGCTGGAGGGGTCGAAGGGAGGGCTGGGCAAGGGTGAAAAACAAGAACCAAGAGAGACTATGTAAAGGTGCAAATTTCCAATGATGAATGTCATTATATTGTATACCTAAAATGTACCAATTATTAGAATGAAAAATTGATAATGTAAAATAGGAATTAAAGGTCCAAAGGGGTAGGGGTAGTGGGAGGCGCAGGGGAAAGGAAAGAAGGGAAAGGAAAAAATGATGAGAAATGGAAAAAATGGAAATAAAGTTTTTGTAAATAGGGAAGGGTGGAGGGCGTGAAGGGAGGGCTAGGAATGGGGAAAAAATAAGAACCAAGATGCATTATATAAAGGTACAATTCCCAATGAGAAATGTAATTGTGTTGTATACCTACAATGTACCAATAAAAGAATTTAATACAAAAAAAAAAAAAAAAAAAAGGGGATCTTTCAACTCTTAGATTCTAAGAATTGCCCGATGCATCCCCATCCTACCCAGTTCCACACATATACACTACTGGTATTCAAAGTAAGCCACGTGAAATTAGCATAGACATTCTCATTGAGCAAGAAAACCTTTCTAGAGAGTGGTGGGAGCCAGCTGCTAAGTTCCCTCGCCTGTCTTTGTAGATCAAGTAGGTCAAAATGCTCTGGCGGAAAGAAGGCAGATTTGAAGGTTATTTATAGCAATAAATTCAATTTTTTATTCATAAAAGAGGGATAATACAAGCCATCTCCAAAATATTTAAGTTTCAAGCTGTACTCCTGGGGTCAAACCTTTCACTGGCTCCCTCACCGTCTCCCAGGCCCTCTGCCTTGGCCCACCTTTCACAGCCACATACTTCAGGCTCACAACTTCTCAGTCCAGCTTCACCTCACACCAAGCTCTCACAAAAGGATTCATGTGCTAGGCCTCTGAGTGAGTCATGGTTCCTTTAAAGTTGTCATATTATACCTTCTTGCAGTTATCTTTGCCCACCCAAAGATCCTGAATCTTCACCTGTTCAAATTATACCAAGCTATGATAGTTAATTTTGTGACAGCTTGACTAGTCACAGTTATTTGGTGAAATATTACTTCTGGACATGTCTCGGAGGATGTTTCCAGATAAGATTAGCATTTGAGTCGGCGGACAAAGTAAAGCAGATGGCCCTCTCCAGTATGAGGTCACCATCCAATCCACCAAAGGCCTCAAGAGAACAAAGGGCTGAGGAAAGAGGGACTCTCCCCTTTTCTGTTTCCTGAAAGCTTGAGTTGAGACACTGGTCTCCTATCTCTGAACTGAGTTCTATCCTTTGGCCTCCCTGGTTCTCAGGCCTTCAGACTTGGACTGAATTACACCACTGGCTTCCCTGGGGCTCCTACTTGCAGACAGTGTATGGTAAACTTTCTCAACTTCTGTAACTATGAGCCAATTCTTTATAATTAACCTCTATATAAATACATGTTCTGCTGGCTGTGTTTCTCTGAAGACTTCCAACTAATATGCAAGTCCAGGGTGCCAAACTCAAGGCCTAACCATTCTCTGACACTGAGCCATCCTGGGCCTGGTCATGCAGGCAAGGAGGTAGGTCAGGGAGGTTACAACATGACTGTGGGGGACAATGACACAGAGGCTGGGGTTATTGCTGAGCCCTTGGCCCTACGATCCTCAGATGCACAACCCACCACCTGGGCCCATCACACCGCCCCACAGGACTTCTGCTGCCTGGCTGGTGCTCTGCTGTGTGCTCTGCTGAGATTAACCAACTGCCCTGTCTCATTTGGACCCTATGGAGCTGTGCTAGGCTGCCAGTTTGCTTGCTTAGTGTTCTCCTCTGGAATCTGCTTACTCCTCACCATCCTCCATGAGGCTGAGGATCTTCCCCAACAATCTTCTTCAAGAAAAGATCTTTAGAAATTTCCAAGACACTATGACTTGCCAGACTGCTCATCTCTGTAGCTCCCTGGCCTCATGCTATGACTGCCTAGGTGGTCCACACCATCTCCTTGTAAGCCTAATTCCCTGAAGGGGAAGAAGTCAGATGATGACAGAAGATGCATTCTGTATCTATTGAGTACCTAAATGAGGGAGTGAGGAAAGCCCCCCAAGAATCCTTAAAACTTTCCAACTATCCAGTCACCTTAATTTTTTACTTTATTGTTTATGTCCCATGGAAAGGTGCCTTGCCTGGCTCAGTCAATACCAGGACTCTTCACAACAAAATGAAAGCTTCGGAAACAAATCAACAAGCCACAAGGAGATGACTAAGCTTACTGTCACGGTTCAGACTTACAGAAGTCCTGTCACTCTGCCACACGTGGGATATCCGGTAGCCCACCAGCTCCCCATCCTGCTGCTTAATTGAAGGCCGTATCCATCTGATGTCCACATTACCAGCAGATTCGTCCAGAAACACAGTGACATTTAAAGGTGCTATTGTTGGAGCTTCAGGTGAAAAAGGAGAAAAAATGTACAAAGATTTTATTAATAAAATTTAATAATGTTTATAAGTCAAAAAAAAGAGAGAAAAAGATGAAGACCCACAAAGAAAAAGCACATATAGATGATTCTCTTCTTGGTTTTCCAGTGTTTGGTTTTCAAATGTTCTATGAAAAGCACAAAAATGACAATGAGATGAAGACCAGGCACCACTGTCTTTTCATTTAAGTACCAGTGTGATATCACATGAGTTTTAACAAATAAGTCCCTTAGGCCACAGAAGCCTCAAGAAACTTCTTTAGTTGAAAATGTTACAAGTGCCATGGTGGGGAAGAGGTAAGTGGCACAGTTACTTATGGTATGTCTGAAAGGAAAACAAAACTGTTAGAACCTTTTTCATTCTGCTGACTCCACGAGAAGTAACTTTTGAAGATAAAAGTCCACATCCACTTGGGAAATGTCACATAGTCATGAATCCATCTCACACATTCAGATCTGTTGGAGAATTTGTGGATAAACATGGCCAGCTCAACAGGTCATTCTATCTGCCTCCTCCTAGACCCTCTCCATGGTGACATTAAGGAATTTTTAAAAACCCAAATTTATAAGGCAAAAAGGAGTCAAGAACATAAGACAAATTTCAATACATAGTTGAAAGCTGAAAAAGAGATGAAGAAGTAATTAATTCAGCAAACTCATTCTCCCCAAAGAACCACAGAGAGGCTCAGAAGCTGAGGGCCGGGTACTAAAATGGGAACTAAAACTAGGAAGACTACCTGCAAGTCTGATTACAAGGCAATCACTCCCTGAGATCCCTCTACCCCCTTCCCACACACCAGGCAAGGGCTTCCTCGAATACCCACAGGACACAAGGCAGGAGTTGCTCTGAGTTGAAAAGCAACAGGTCTTAGAGCACCAATAGAACAGAGACATGGTTAAGAGCCAGACTGAAAAGTGGGGAAATAAGTGAAAATTTGTGATCTGAATGAGGATTCCACTTCATCCTTGTACCCCTATCAGGCTCCTAGAATATAAGAAGGAATGTTCATCTTCCCAGGGCAGGAGACAATAGACTTCCCTTCTTGAGGAACAGACGGGCTATAGAAGAAGACAACCAGTTGTCTGGAACAAACCCATAGGTCATTGCCCAATCACCAGCCAGTGAAGCTTATAAGCCCCACCCATATTCATAAAGTTCCAATTCCAATCAAATTGCTGGACTTCAGTCTTCAATGGGAGCAGGCAGCAGAGGTCTGGGGAAAACTCATTCGTGAACATAAGGGACCACACACAGGTCAGAGGGCTTAGAGCAGACAGAGCCAGTGTAAGAAGGTGGAGAAGAATACAAAGGAAACCAAAACAATAAATAATATACCTAAAGATAAGAAAAGGAACCCAATGGCAGAACCGGAAAAAAACAGTGAAAAAGAATGTAGAATAAAGATCCAAAGGAAAAAAGGCCGCTTTGAGAAAAGAAAATTAAGAAAGCATTTGAAGAAGTTCAACAACTGCTTAATATTAATATTTGGGAAAAAAACATGAGCAGAACATTTTCAAAGGGAAAAATGTGTCAGGAAAAGTCTCAGGACCAAAGGACTTGGATTTCTGCACAGGGCAACTGAATGCCTATGTTGATGACCAAGACAGATTCTACATCATAGTTCATCACAGCAGCAACATTAAAGAGAAGAGATATTTTTAAAAAGCAAATTAAAAATAGTTCATGTAGAAGACTCAAGAATCACAGTTAGACACAGAAATTCATAAAGCTAAAAAACAACGCAAAAATATATTGATTGATTTTCTTTTCTTTATTTTTCTGGTACCGGGGCTCAAACTCAGGAGCTTGCACCTGGTAAGGCGGGTGTGGCACCACTGAGCTAAATCCCCAACCCCTTGATTGATTGATTGATTGATTGTAGTACTGGGGATTGAACTCAGTACTGAGGTACATCCTTAATCCTTTTTTAATTTTTATTTTGAGGCAGGGCCATGTTTAAGTCATTAAACTTCCCAGGCTTGGTCCAAACTTGTGATCCTCGTGCTTCAGCATCCCAGAGTGCTAGGATTATAGGTGTGTGCCATTTCATCCAGCAGTTTTAAATTTTTGAGGGAAAATAATTTCTACTTTAAAATTACATATTCAGAAAAATTACTAATCTAGTATGAAATAAAGACATTCAAGTTTCTAGTCATTATTATTATTATTATTATTATTATTATTATTATTAGCAGCAGCAGTAACTGGAGATTAAACCCAAGGCCTTCACACTGAGCTATATCCTCAGCCTTCCTTTTTTTTTTTTTGGTAGGGGGGATTGAAATCAGGATCTTGCACTTTTGAGGCAGGCACAACACCACTGAGCTAAATCCCTGAGTCCGCTCCTTTTTTATTTTGAGACAGTATTTTGTTTAAATTGCTAAATTGCCCAGGCTGGGGTTAAACTTTCAATCCTCCTGTCTCAGCCTCCCAGAGTGCTGGGATTACAGATGTGCTCCACTATATGCCTAGGCTGGCTTAAACTCCTGGGCTCAAATGGGCTCACTATTGCCTCAGCTCCGCAGTACTAGGACTACAGCCACACGCCACTGAGGCCCAGCTCAGTCTTCACTTTTGATACACATTCACTTAGGAAGGCTATTGAGGTGTTCCATGAAAATCAAAGAGTAAACTAAGGCAAATTTTGATGGAATCTCATTTATCAATTTTTTCTTTTATACATCATGTTTTTATATCCTAGGAAATTCTTGTGTACCCTAAATTCATGAACATTTTCCCTTATAATTTCTTCTTAAAGTTTTTATAGTTTTAGTCTTTCATATTTAGGTTCATAGATCCTTTCAAGTTATTTTTATATATGGAAATAAAAGGTTGAGGTTAATTTTTTAGATATGGATACTAGGTGTTCTAGTAACATTTGTTGAAAACACTCTTTTCCTCTGCTCTTGAGTTGAGTTTATGTTCTATAAAATGTTAATGTTAAATAATCTTTCCAAAATCAGTGGACCATATATCTGTGGTTCTATTTCTAGATTCTCTGTTTTATTCCATTGATCTATATGTCTTTCCTTACACCAACATTGCCTTGATTACTGTAGCTTTAGAGGAAGTCTTAAAATT